ACTTTGTTGATATTTTCTCAGTGAAAAATGACACTTTTAATATTTTTCACACTGAAAAATATCACTTTTATTCAATGGATAAAATCATAAATTTAGAGTATTTTACTGTTGAAAATGTAATTGGTAAATCTCATCGAATAATAGGTTAGTCTTGCATCCACCTGAGACATTAGGATTAGCCTTGCACCCACTCAAGAAATTCATTGTAAACATAATTCGTTTTATTATACTTTCATGTTAAATAGTCAAATTTAATTTAATGACATTTGCTAAAAAAATATTACCCTACCCTGTGCATAAACCAGGCACTCCAGATAACATTACATTGCAACAGTTGACAATGGGTAACGGGACAAAAATTATTTTAAAACTGCAGCAGAATACTTGAAAATGTACGACAATGGGCAACAGTACAAAAATTGTTTCAAAACTGCAGCAGAATACTTGAAAATGTATGACAAAGGGTAGCAATACAAAAATTGTTTTAAAACTGCAGCATAATACTTGTGCTTGGTTCACTATGATATTTTTTTCTTTAAATTCAGCATAACAGCTTAAAAAAAATTCTATTAGCTTGAAAACATTTGTTGACCTCAGCTTCGCCTCAGTCAACAATGCTTTTTGTGGAATAACAATTTCTCGTTACCCTTAAAAACATGATATTTTTTATAATATCTATTAAGTTTATTTATAATATGTCTTAAAACTACAGAAAATGAAAATCTTTTTGCTGTAGGTGTGAATTCATACTGTCATTGTGTTTTTAACCTTGCAACTTTGTTATTTTTGTTAATTTAAAAAAAAGGTCTGGAAAATTTCTAAAGACTAGTAATGATTATAAAGTATGTGTATTAGATGTTGGTATTTCAATATTTTTTAGATCTAGATGTAACATTACATATTGGATGATAATACGTCGGCTTATTAATTCTGTTGGTCAGTGATAATGGTCACCCCGAGTACAAATATATAATGTAATACACTGATAACCTGTATCCGTGAGACTGTGACCCACGGTCAGAAACAGAACGTGTCAAATAATCACGTTTTTATTTTACTTTGGTAGCAGAAGTAATTAGTATAGAAAAACTGACTTAAATTAGAGACTTTTCATTGTTATGTTTTTATGATGTTGCAATAAACTTAACCATGTAAGTTTTGTAAAACATCTGAAGAAAAGTGAAAGTGCATTTACTGTGTTTTCCTTTATTCCTATTTTTTATTGTATATATATAGAGAGAGAGAGAGAGTGAGAGAGCATACATGTATTATTTCTATTAGCTGGATTACATAATTACATAGATAATCAGATTAAGAAATCTGGTATAATTTTTGGACTTAATATAGCAGTAAAATTATATAATAAGTAGTTCATATTTGATAGTGCAAGTTTTGTGTTTGGATGCAGTCCATCAGGGACAATATGTACCCAGATCCCAATAAGCTTATTAGGTCAGGACTATGTTTGACTTTGATTTTAAGATAACTCACTTTATATTAATCAGTGATTGATATCAATTATGGCATTTATTTATCGTCAAGTGTTAAAGACTGTTGAACTCTATTTTCCAATTTTATGATATATGCTGTGTTTCATTGATTTACAAATCCAAATTGTGAGTATTATAATTCAATTTCTCTACAAAGTAGAAATGATTTGGAGTTAAACTTTAAGCAGTCCAAATTTGGAAAAACATATTTGTAAAAATAATGACAAAATAATTTTTTTCCATTAAGTTTCCCAAACCTAATAGTCAAGAGATTACTTTCTCTCTCTCTGGAATTTCTAGTGAAACTTTATTCAAGTTTCACTTCAAATTCCAGAGAGAAAGAGAGAGAGAGAGTTATCAGAAAAATAATAATAAAATGAGAATTTAAGGAAAAAATCTGCTATGTTGATACTGGTTGTAAAAAGGCTAAGATGGTATGGTCAAACTGTTATATTATGTACAATGATAAAACTATAAAATGATTTCAGAAATGTTTCTTGCCTCTACCTTTTCCTTTTTAGTACAAAAAAGTAAACAGCATTTGAAATGCTAATACCAAAGAATTCTTCTTTTTTTTTTAAATAATTGCTTTTTTGACCGTTATTTGAATATTTACTCAGTCATGTATACTGGTTATTGACAGAGAGACAAGTATATATAAGCAAAGATATTAAAAGCGCCTGACACAATAGCATACACTCTTCTCAAGAAGGAGGAGTGAATTGAGTTTATATGCATATAAAACAGGTTTCTGATTAAAGTGGGGGACGTGGTCCTATTTTACAGAAGAATTACATCCTGCTCTGGAAAATGACAGTTTAGGGTGTAGATTTTGTTCTGTTTACACAAAACATTTCAGGTTGAATTACCTGGAAATGTAAGGTCATAGTGAGAGAAACATGTGACACGATTTATTTCTCAAGGTTGTTGAATTAATGGAGAGTTTTTACAGTTCAGTATTATGGTCTTTCTGTAATTACCTGTAGTGTTTTGTAAAGAATGGCAGAAAAGACTTGCAGGATAATTCTTGAAAGGTATAGTGTAGACTTGAGATAATCACTTCTGTTTTCAGATTTCATTTTATAAATAGATAACAGTGCATGTGAAGATCCTTGGTTTTATATACGGGAAATTATATTGTGCCGGTAGTATTAATGATTTGATAATGAAAGCTTGATATGCATCATTAAGCACACTACTTTCTTTAAATTATATAATTTTAAAAGAAAATTGAATTTTTTCTAAATGTTATTTTTTTATGAATAATCAGTTTAATACTGAATGTAATGATTCAAAACAAAATTAACATTTTTTCACCAGCTGTTTATTTATTTATCGAGACTTTCATTACCAATAGTCTCTGGTGCCTCATCTAGGTCTGAATTGTGGGAAAACAGATGTTTTTAATGAAAAGTTTGGGGTTTTTTAGAAGAAGTGAAAAATTGAATTAAGGTAGATATTTTATAAAAAGGCTTGACTCTCAAATATTATATCTATTAAGTTCATGTTACTAAGTTAAAGTGAAATTACTGTTTTGAACATATTTTTTTGTATAATTAATACAAAGGGATTGGTTACAAGTTCTAACAACTTAAAAAAACCTTTCCCTGTAATATATACAATGATTATAATGATTTATCGAACAAATTAAATACAGTTGTAATGGTAAAATGAAGTTATACATGTAATAATTATATACATTGTACAAACATTTCAAAGACACTTATTATAAGTTTAGAGTCAACAAGTCTCAAATGATACATGTAAATAATTACACAAAGACAACAATAATCATCGTCATCATCATATAAAATAAATAAACAAACTTTACACATAATAAAGATATAAAGTTATATACATGTATCTATGATAAATACAGATTTGAAAAATTTGGGGATACATGTTGTAGATTAAAAACTACCCTAATTTTTAATAAATTTGTACACTGCAAAATAACTGATTATTTACATCAGTAGACAAGGAATCATTTCCTTGTGATAAAAGGTGAGTATATATTGACTTGTCAAATGGTTATACACATGTAATGAAGAATATTGTTTATTGGCTCATATTTCCTGGCCGTTCATATTTCTTACATGCAAAGAAGAAATGATATACATTATTCTTCTTTTTGACCACATGAACAATTAGGTGAATCTGTTATATTCCTCCGATATAAATCATGATTAAGTATACTGTTGTGTCTTAATTTCATGTGTATCATATGAAACTAAATCATTAAAAACTATACTTAAAAAAAATATACTTTGTTTTTTTTTTTCAATTTTTGTCAAAGAGATATTCACTCTTGTATTATAATGTCATATATGTTTTGCAGTTAATAGTCCATAAATTTATAAAGTATTATCAATTCTTAACTAATTATAACATTAAATTTACTGTCATTTATTTGTTTAATATGTATTGACAAATGAACAAAGAAAATCAATTCATGATATATTCATGATATATTATTGAGAAAGTATGTCTATTAAAATTAACAGTTGCAGAAATTTCAAAGTTCTAAAAGTTTTTTTTTTTAATTTAGCTTTTAAGATAATTTAGAGGCAAAACTTTTTATTGATGCAGATGTATGTTTATATGGTTGAATTAATTATGTTTTTAACCCTTCTATGAGCCGGTCTGTGAGTCTTTCGTATATGTATGTTGTTATTACCTGATATTTATTTTATCTCAGAGCAGCTTAAATAAATCGGTCAATCAAACTATCTCCCTGTCATCTCATCTCAATATAATGTGTGACAGTCAAATTTCAATTAGCTAAGAAGCTTTAAATGTAAAAGCTTTAAACTTGTCAGAAAGTGGTAATTATGTGTGTATATGAAGTTTTATTTTAAAAACCCAAACTAATCTAAGGACCACCAACAGAATAAAAAATTGTACTCAAGACAAATCTCTTATCCTTGGCAGAATCTTGAAACATATTCTTGGGTCTCAAGATGAATTTAGGACCCCAACAGAAGGGAAAAAAAGTGAATTTTGAATTATTTTTTTTTATCATTCTTACTTTTTTCCCAAATGTGTTTTTTTTTTTTTTTTTTTTTAAAGTTAAATGATTTCTATTTGTCAAGACTGGATGATTGTTTTTTTTAAAGTTAAATGATTTCTATTTGTCAAGACTGGATGATTGTTTTTTAAAGTTTAATGATTTCTATTAGATATATTTTAAATTTGTTATTACACGTGTACTTGGATGTTTGAATGTGTAAATTAAGAGATTCAACAAGACTATGCTAACATAAGTGAATTTTCTGTATTTAAATCTAATTCAAGGAAGTTGTTTGTTATAAGTTTAGTAAAAAAAATTTGGTATTCCCCTTCAAGAAGGTAGAGGGATTAGTTACCAAAAGTTCTGTGAAATATTAGGTATTTCCATTTAAGAAATTTAAAGGAAGTTAGAAATGCACATTAGCATTATCTGTTGAAATAGCCCACCAAGATAATAGTGATGGGTAATAATTAGATATTTCTTCCTTTGTCTTATAACAGTGACATGAGGTGTGTAGCTAACCACCTGTGTCAGGAGTTTATGTCTGACATCATTAGTGTCACCGGGTCCTCGGAGGACGAGGATGATACTCCTCTACAGAATTATCTCCTCAGGGAGCGTGGCTGGCTCCTCCTCTACACCATTCACAGAAACGGCACACAGGTATGACACAGTATAAAACACCATCCACAAAAACGGCACACAGGTATGACACAGTATAAAACACCATCCACAGAAACGGCACACAGGTATGACACAGTATAAAACATCATCCACAGAAACGGTACACAGGTATGACACAGTATAAAACACCATTCACAGAAACAGTACACAGGTATGACACAGTATAAAACACCATCCACAGAAACGGTACACAGGTATGACACAGTATAAAACACCATCCACAGAAACGGCACACAGGTATGACACAGTATAAAACACCATACACAGAAATGACACACAGGTATGACACAGTATAAAACACCATCCACAGAAACGGCACACAGGTATGACACAGTATAAAACATCATACACAGAAACGGCACACAGGTATGACACAGTATAAAACACCATCCACAGAAACGGCACACAGGTATGACACAGTATAAAACACCATCCACAGAAACGGCACACAGGTATGACACAGTATAAAACATCATAAACAGAAACGGCACACAGGTATGACACAGTATAAAACACCATCCACAGAAATGGCACACAGGTATGACACAGTATAAAACACCATTCACAGAAATGGCACACAGGTATGACTTCACAGTATAAACACCATCCACAAAAACAGTACACAGGTATGACACAGTATAAAACACCATCCACAGAAACGGCACACAGGTATGACACAGTATAAAACATCATACACAGAAACGGCACACAGGTATGACACAGTATAAACACCATCCACAAAAACAGTACACAGGTATGACTTCACTGTATAAACACCATCCACAAAAACGGCACACAGGTATGACTTCACTGTTTAAAACACCATCCACAAAAACGGCATACAGGTATGACTTCACTGTATAAAACACCATCCACAAAAACGGCACACAGGTATGACTTCACAATTACAGGACAAAACACCATCCACAAAAACGGTACACAGGTATGACACTCGCAGTATAACCATCCACAAAAATGGTATAATGACGCTCACAATTGAAAAATTCATATTATATGATTTTTTATCAAACAAGGCTTACCAAAGAGGAATAATTTTTTTGTCATGGGTTTAATGAAAGAGCTTTTCCACTGGATAAGCATTTTATTATACTGATATATATTTCCTGGGGGGTGGATAGCAAAGTATAGCTTTGTAGAACTCTTCAGTGTTGGAGAAAATTACCAACTAATCATACAACAAAATCAGAGTGGCATCTAAATGTGAATGAAATTTTTCTGAGGAATGCATAACACATTTAACCTCTGGGGTTAACTAAACTATCTGTGAAAATTTTCAGACCATAAAAATAGTTATTTTACCTCCAAACCTTTGTAAAGGAAACATTTTAAAAGAAGTATAAAAATGACTACTATGTGAATATGATAATATAATAACTTTGAGAAAAGAATCATATATATTATATATAGTATATGTGATGCAGATTAGCCTACAAATTTAAGTAATTATGATACAAATGTGTTTAAATAGTCCAGTCTATTTCAGGGCCTTACTGTGGGAAAAGATTTCAGTAATCTTCTTGTGTCTCTGTTACCATGGTGCTTGAAATTTCCTGTGGACAACCCAAACTCTCAAGCAGGTACAATACTAGAAAGATCAGAATATTTAATGCTGTTTCAATCATCAGTAAAGATGGTTATTTTTTCATTTTACTTTTTGCTTTCAGATGAGCTAGAATCACTTCTTCCCATTAATACTTGCTTCCTCCATCTGGAGCACTCCTCAAAATGGCAGCGGTGTTCCTCTCAAAGAAACAAGGTGCTGCCTCTCACAGACAAACACAAAAGCAAATCCCGCTCATCAGGAGGCCCAAAGAAACATAGGAAGATTCCAGAAAGTATCAAAAGACTGCAGGAAAGGTCTGACAGTGAAGCTGAGAGTGTGACTGAACCGGTGCGGAAACAACGGTCAGGTCGGAGATTTGTGAGGCACAGGAGCATATCCCAGAGTCTAGGGAAGGAGCCAATAGAAAGAAGTCAGTCTAGCAAAGAGGAGGATGAGGAAGAGATGACAACACTCTTATCTAAGTACAACAATGGCTACAAATCTATTTCTCCTTACAAACTCTGTATGCTTATTTTGAATGTACTCTCAGATGTGTGTCTTTTAGATATTGACCAATCAAATCCAAGCAAAACATTGTCCCCAGTCTTATTGCCTCACTTGCTACATACTCTTACTAACTTGTACCCATCTTTGAATGGAGGAAATGAAGATTTGCTAGCTTTTCATTGGCTCAAAAGGCAACAGACATACTTTCAGAGAAAGATTCTTCGACTTATTTTAGTCATGGCATCAATTGTGGCCACTCAACCCAATGGAATAAATATCATTGTAGGACATAAGTTAGTGTCAGTTTTATTGGATGTGGCTAGACAGATTCAGCAGCTGCAAAATCTGAAGGAGCAACTTTCATATGGGAAACAGAAGACATCAGATGATCTCTCTCAGATAACTGATGACTTTGTACTGTTTACAGAGTTAATTCTGGGCCTTCTGATGGCAATTGATGTCACATTCCAATGCTTGCCATTCAATCTAGTTCATGTGAAGAGTGCCATTCAGTTGGTGGAGGAATTTGATGAGGGACATGGCTTTATTTTGTTAGAGAACATCATTCAGATGCTGGACAGTAACACGGTGAAAGCTACTTCCATTCAGATGAAGCTTGGTATTCATGTTACAGAGCCAGTGAAAATCGCTGCTTCTTTTCTTAGCACCTTGAAATCCCTGAAGCTCAATTACATTCACACTATGAAATGCACTAAACGGAAGCATAAGTCGTGCCAGTTTCAGCAGTATTTTAACCATCATCATAATATCCTTGGATTACCACATTCTTCTAAGGTTGATGAGAAGCTGGAAGGAATGCCAGAATCTTCCCTTGATAACACCACTTGCCTGATTGCTGTCTGGTGCCTATTTCTGTTGGATTTACTTTCAAAAGTCAAAGACATTTCATTGCAGGTAGAGATTTTACGAACAGTGGAACAGACAGGAAACTGTTGTTGTGTTTCATTGGAAACCATTTTTGAGCCAATAAGAAAAAGTCTGCTGTTGTTTAGTGTTGGAATCCAGAATTTTGCCATGGAGGTGTTTAATAGAATTCTACTGGAACATTTCAGTAGAAAAAATAAAAATAACAGTGAAAATCTTCTGGAGCTTACAAATTTTCAGTGCAATACCTGTAGAGATGTGAAACTAGTCAGTGTAGAAAATGTAGAAACATCAGAAAAAGCAGTCTCTTTTGCCTTGGATAGTGGGTTTTCTAGTCATGATTTTCCAGATAAAAAACCAGAGATGCCAAACGGCTCTAAGAAAGTGATGCAGGGCTTTAAAGACCTGTTGTTTTCTTCAGAGGGTAGAGTTGCAGAAGTGACAGCAAAAAATCTGGGCACCTTGGCTCAGCTAGGTAGTGAGTCACTGAAGAAGGATCTCTTTTTCAATGTTTATGTCCATGCTTTTGAGTCTTTCCTTGTTAACGTGAGTAAAAATTCATCTAGTATGTCTTCAGAAATGCAGGAGGATGAGACTTGCCATTTAGAATTTTCGTCTAAAGTGAAAGTCCACTGTTTGCTTGCTGTGCCAAATTTGTTAAAAGTGGATTCTGTGATGAAAGCTTTTCTCACAAAGAGAGGGGTAGGCCAGATTTGTAAAATGTTAGATGACAATGTTTTACGTGCTCCAGTCTTGAAAGTATTTGAGGCACTAGTTATTCTTGATGAAGTCAAACAGAGAGAATTTGAAAACAGCTTGGAAGCTGGAGAGGAATCCAAGTCAAAAGCAGGGATGGTTATCTCAGCATTTATTGATGGTCTTGCTAAGAAGACAGACATGAGTTTATCCCTGTATCTTTCCAATGAAATAAAATGTGAGAAAGATTTGTGTAAAATTGGTCCTGACAATAAATATGTTCAAAATCTCACAGTTATGGTAGACATGTGGGAAACATGTGCCAAGATCTGTCTGAACAGTGAACACTTTGTCATGCATTTATTGGAATCCCAGTGTCTTCCAATAGCAGGAAATCTTTTACTGAAAGTTCTGAAACAACTCAAGTCCTCTGTTGGTTGTACTCTGGCTCAGCAAAGAGGACAGGGTGAGGAACAGAGCAAGGACTCCTCAGAAGATTCTGGACAGGAACTGGAGCAGTTGGTTTCCTTGACGATGAGCATGCCCTCTGTATGCTTCCTGAAGCTTGCTCTGCTTCAGAGTCTTCTGACTGTTTGTAATGTCTGTTACAAGCACCATGGCCGGCAGGTAAGTTTATGTTATAAATTTTTTTTTGAATATAATTAAAACATAGAGAAATTGCCATTCTTTTTAAAAACGTTTTTTTCTTACCATATTTTGTCTGGTGTCTGTCAGTTTGTCCATCTGTAAACTTTTCACATTTTCTACTTCTTCTGAAGAACCACTGGGGCAATTTCAACCAAATTTGCCACAAAGCATCCTTGGGTGAAGGGGATTTAAGTTTGTTAAAACGAAGGGACACACCCTCTTTCAAGGGGAGATAATTAAGAATTAGTGAAGATTTAATGGCATTTAAAAAAATCTTCTTCTCAAGAACCAGAGAAGTTGAAACTTATATGAAATCTTCATTACATAGAGTAAATTTAAATTTGATAAAACCATGGTGCCCCAGGGTAGGTTGGGACCACAATTGGAGATCAAAGTTTTACACAAGAATATATAGGGAAAAATCTTCTCAAGAACAGCAAATCTATGATTAGTTATATTAATATCGGAACATCTTTAGGTAGTTTAAATTCAAATTTGTTAAGATCATGGCCCTTGGGGTAGGGTGGGGGGCCACAGTGGGGGATCAAAGTTTTACAAAGGAATACATAGAGAAAAAAAAACTTAATTTTTTTTTTTAGAACAACAAAGCTATGATTATTCATATTGATATGGAAGTATCCTCAGGTAGTGCAGTTTCCAATTTGTTCAAATTGATGACCTCCCTGGATAGGATTGGGTCACAATGGAGGATCAAAATTTTACATAGGAATATACATGAACAAATCTTTAAAAATCTTCTTCTCTAGAACAACAAAGTCTGATTAATCATATTGATATGAAAGCATCCTCAGGTAGTGTAGATTCAAATTTATTCAAATCATGACCCTTTAAGGGTAGGTTGGGGTCACAACAGGGAATCAAAGTTGTACATAGTAATATATGATAGGGAAAAAATCTGCTGATGAAGAATGGCAGGGCCATATTGGTTCAGGTGAGCGTTGTGGCTCATAGACCTCTAGTTAACTTATTGTGAGAAGAGTAACGAGCTTATTTATGATAATCTTGATATAAATTTGATAAATTTAACATTTTCAGAAGTAAAATTAGTTTTTACAAATCATGACACTAAGTAGCAATTAAGTATGATGTACATTCTCATTTGATATGCATTTAGATTTTTGACATAAAGAGAAATATTGAATATAAATTCTTGATAACAATTTCAATGGATTTTTTGTGTGTGTGTGTGGGTAAAAAAGAGGGGGAAAAACACAGGAGGGGAAAAAATTCTAAAAATAGCCTATATTTAAGGGGAAAAAAGATGTCAGGAAATTATATTGTTTGAATGACTTTCTTCTTTGTTTTTCATTAATGGGTTAATTGGTACACGATTGTGGAGTTCACTATAGCACATTGTTGACAGGGTAATAAGGATATGTACACCACAAACTTTGTCACAAGATGAGATGATAATGATCAAATGATGTAAGATGCTATATCTCAGATATGAGTTACCATGTAGGGAAACACTTTGTTTATGCCTGTCCTTGTAGGTAAATTGTTTTTGTTTTTCAAGCGTATAAGTAAGACGTAAATTACTACAGGGCTGGGCATTGTAGGTGATCATTCTTGTCATATTTTTTGTCCAATTAATCTGTTGATGGAGGATAAAAGAATCTCATTAATATTTTTGTTTTGTTCTGTAAAATTATTATCTTGTCATTACTATCAATTAAAAATACATGTTTGTTTATCATTATCAATTAGAAATACATTTTTTTCATCAGTATCAATTTGAAGTTCACAAGTTTTTTAAATTAAAAAAAATATAATATATAAATAATCTTAATCTTACTGTAAGAAGAAATTTTTTTAACGCACTGTGGCATTTAGTGCAGGGAATTTGTAAATTTTAAGCAGTTGATGATAGCAAATTGATAAACAAAAAAAGGGTTAGGGGCACATGTGAATTGCATAACTTGCAGTGCCCGTGAGTTACATGTCATTGAATAGATGCACTTTAGTTAATGTATCTATATATGTTTATTTACACACACTGAAAGTTATCTTATGAACATAGATAAATAAACCAATTAAGAAATAGTGTTTATTTTTCATATTGATATGAAGCTTGTATCAATCCCAGGGGTACACTAACTGGTACAGTGTTACAGATAGGAGAGAGGAAAAAAATAAATAGATATAATATATAAATGTGCATGTATGTATAACCTACATACATGCACATACGTTATTAAAACTTGTAATTTACATATATAATACATGTATACTGATAGTGGCTGAACATACACATGTACCTCATTGAGTTTAAACTGGTTTTACATATAACTGGATTGTATGGGATGTAATGATTGAGGGGGACTTGAATTTGATTGTTATAAGAAATTTGATAATAGGTACTTAGATTATCAAAGCTTACTGTAAATGATTTTTTTCACTTGCTCATCATATACTTTAGTGATTACTGAGTACATGTACATGTTTGGATATAAACACTTGGTTAAATTATTTCTTTTTTGTTTGTTTTTGTTTAATTTGTTTTGTTTGTTTGTTTTTCATCAGTAAATGTTATATTTCCAATGTCATTGTTATAATTACATTTTTTCTGATTAAGATCTGTATAATGAAACATCGATTCTGTCTGTTATTTTTCAAGATTTCTTATGACATTGCATTAGTTACCTATGATTATGGTCTGTGATCAGACATTTTTCTTATTGTAGGATGAAATCAGAATGTGGGGGAGGATAAGGGAAGCGTTCCAAGATTGCGCTGTTCTACCAGCCTCCCGCCTCAAAACATTATTTGACATCATGTTGATCTCTGCTATGCCCAAGAAGGTCACAGTTTTTGACTCCAACCAAAAAAGTAGCATACCTCAAGATGTAAGTAAAAGTTGTACATATGGAGATAAGAAATACTTTTTATGAATACTATAGAAGCACAAATTTCATTGAATTGTCATTTAAAAGGTTTTGTGGACATTAAATTTCGTTGTTTCGAAAGTAATCCTTTTCAATATATAGTCATATAAAAATTTTGTGTGGGATTTAATTTCGTTGATAATTGTTAACAATATTAAAGAAATAAACAAAATTTAATCCCCAACAAATATTTCTGCTTTTACAGTACTCAATTGTAAATAGTATTAAGATGTTTTATTTACATTTTTAGTTAAATTTCTCTTGAAGGTAGTATATACATTATTTGATAATATATTAAAAATTAGACTACTTGTTTAAAGTTTATAAAGGATGATGATATTGATGATGATGAAATTCGACAACTGTTACATGCGAGCAGTGAAGACGATGGAGATTCTGTCTGGGTGATAGAGAAAGGTTACGATGGGGACACAGAAACATCGCACGATGATGTGAAGAAATGGGGCTCAGACTCCCCCTCCAGGAGGGAGTACTTTCCCTCGCTGTTCAGACTGATGGTAGAGCTACTGATTAACTGTCAGAGACACCAGGCGGGGAGGGACATCCTCCCCCAGGTCCTGTTAAAACTTTTACAGACTCTGAAGGGGAACTCAGCAGCTGTGATGGTCATCTGTGAGGAGGTTTGTAAGGGTTTCCAGAGATGTACATTAAAACTCGGTCAGAGCATGCCCATACTCAATATCTGCTTGTAACAGTCAACATGAAATGAAACACTATATAAATATTGCATGTAGTTGAGGTAAACATTGAAAATTTTCATCCCAAGAAAACCATTGTCAACCAAGACTCCAGGAATCAGATCTAAGTAATTGATTAATATGAAAGTATACTATAATAGAAATATCAACTGTATTATATGATGTATTATAGCTAAAAACTAAGGAATTTTTTACTTTTTGTGGAAGTTTGCTAATGACATCATGCTTTACCTTATTTGGGTCTGATAATTTGAAAACTACCATTAATAACTATTGCTATTTATACTTAATTGTAGGGGCTGCTCTATAAGTTACTTACAGGCTTCTGGACCCAGCTTACTGCAGAAGATGATAAAGGAATGGGTAAGAGTACATGTGTATACATATGATAAAGGAAAGGAATGAGTATATATCAGTGTAGAAGAGTTCTATAGTACTACAGTTTCTTGAAGAAATTAGATCCTATGTTTGAATATTAAGGAGTGCTGGGTGTCCTGTTTTCTAAATGTTTGGCTAATTTCAGTGAGAACATATCTACTTTCCCTCATTCAGTGCTTGGCACAACACAGGATCACATCTCTAGAACTCCAGAAAATCCTACAACTCTTTCAGCACTCACATATTTCAAGAGTATGTATATCTATATCTGAAGCTTGTTGATGTCATTATACTTTATTACAAAAAATGTATCTTCGGAAAATTTATGTAAAATGAAATTTGTAAAAAAAAAAGTTTTGCTTTTGGTAGAATTTTCTGTTGTCGTGTTTGTTGACGATTGTGGAGCAGTCTAGTGTCCAGCCACACTACAGTATTAAGTTTCCTGTCAAGTCCAGTCCCAGAAAAAGTTCCTCCACCTCATCCTCTGTTTCCTCAGGCAGCATAAAGCAGTCCACTGAACTCCCAGCTCCAAAAATAAAATCCACAGAAAAAGGTAGTGCAGTGATTCCTCTTCTACGGTCCTTGTCTACCATGGTCACCATGATGCCTACAAATGATCTGAAGATACAACAGGAACCAGAAAATTCCCAGAAGGCTTTTGAACAGGAAGTATGGAATGTGATGGCAGTGGAGATCCCAGTAGGCATTGGGGTCACTTGGCCTCCTTATCAGTCAGGTTTGACCTTTGCCCTGTGGCTGAAGATCTGTGAAGAGGAGGGCATGACCTTGAAGCCCACAACAGTCTTATCAACAGGGAACCACGTTTATGCTTCCAGTAGTGAGGGTATGTTTTTGTTAAAATGCTACCAGTGTTTCATGTACTAAGTTTTTACTGAATGTGCAAATAAGTACAAATAGTGCAATGAGGTGAAAACTGGAACATTTTTGTTTTCCAATATCTCAAGAGATAACAGGTCCTTTTTTTATTTAGATCTGACCCAGAAAGGTGTCATCAATGGAAAGTCTGTGAAACCACTGGTTATGTCTGAGTGTATCCATGTGATGTCAGTTGGAACACGAGAGAAACTGCTAGAGGTGTGGATCTGTTGTAAAACAGGAAAACTACTCTTCAGGTGAGTGTGAGTTAAAAGTGGCAAGTCAATATAATTGAATTTTTATTGTCAGCTTAAGAGTTTTTCAGCATTGTCTTCATTGTTTAAGAAGGAAATGCACTAAACTTTAGTACATTTGCTTTTCAGACTAACATCAGAGACAAATGAAGATGGGTTGGTGTTAGATGAGGCCACATCTCGAGACTGGGTGCATCCAGGGAAATGGCACCACATCATGTTCAGCTATATAGAGGCTCTGGAAAATACAGACAATGTGGATCCAAACCTTGTTGGCAGGGTGTGAAATTAATTCCACTCCTAGTATCAAACTTATATTGACTGAATATTCACAAATGTAGAAATTAAGTGTAGGGATACATATACTGGGTAATCTCACTTAATTCAGAAAATGTTGTTAAAATTATAATATTGTTAAACGTATAGTATGTTATAACACTGAGTTTGTGATGGTTGTTGTTGTCATTGTTTCCATGGTAATTGACAGCTGACCTTGACAATTGATGGGTGGCAGAGACAGGAAATTAGACTAGAGCAGCCCAACCCCTCAGTCAAGGTCGACACACTTGAGGGTAAAGGCAGGCTCTGTGTGGGTCATGTCTATGAAGAATTGCGAGAAATGACAAACTTCTTACCCTGGCAGATGGGGTCTTTGTCAGTATTCAGAGGTGAGCAGACATTTGTAAAGCAGAATGGATACGGTTTGGCTGTGTTTTGTAGATTTGGATGTTTATTTCTTGCATACAATTTCAGGTGTAGATATTAGTGAGGAGGAATGTTTATATTTGTATGCCCTTGGTCCTAGCTGTAGGAATGTCAGTAAATGTGACGGTCCAGAACAACCAATCTCCTACTCCACCTTTATATCAAAACAACTGATCCAGCATGCCAACATCTCTCATGATACTCTGGTGGGACTGAGGCTAGTAGATAGAGATCAGCTCAGGGTGAGTGAGGACTCAGTTTAACATCAAATAATTTATCCTGCTTGATGCATTATTTATTTGTCAGGCTCTTGTTTGAAAATAAAAACATTAGAAAACATATCAAAAATTACAGTCAAACTTCATCATCTTGGACTCAATGGAACCGAGAATAACTGAGTTTTTTGAGGATTTGAGATATTGAGGTTAAAATACATTAAGAAAAAATGGTTGGGATTTCCATCTCACTTTGACATATCTATGGTGTCTGGGTTGTTAATATTTGAGATACTGAAGTTCAACTGTATATTGATCAAAATCTCTAAAGAATGATGATATGATATAATGTGGAAAGGTTTTTAACCATTTAATAATTGGATTGCAGATGAAGATTATGTTACACTACAGTGGAGGCAATCCTGACCAGGTCCTCTTGTATGAGTCTGCCCTGAGGTCAGAAATCCCCGCCCTGATGGCAGGTAACCTTGGAATTCCCCAGCCGCAGTCTCTCTTGTTGTGCCAGCAACCATTGCCGACTGGGGTGATGACTCATGGGAAAGTCGCCACTAAGCTTTGTTATGGACTGGAGAAAGCTGTTAAGGAAGTAGGAGGCATGGAGGCCATTATGTATCTAGTGGCTAAGGTATGTGTGTGTGAGCATCCTCTGTGTCTCAGTGTTTATAGCAGTGTGTCAGTTTGTTTAAAGTTTGAAAAAGAATTGATAGAATTAACTGATGGTCTTTCTTTTGTACAGACATGGATAATTTGACCTAAACCATATCATTTTCTTATAAACTAGAGAATTCTACCGATTCACAGACACACTGAAGATAACATACACTGTACATTTGTGAAATTATACCAGGTACCTGTTTTTGTTTTACAGACAGTGGAAGATAACACATATGACAACCATGAGAATGACCAATCAGAGGAGTGTATTCAGTCTAAAGCCTTGCAGCTTCTATTCTCTGTGGTCAACTTTTCACCAGACTTAGATAATGACTATATGACAGCCAATGGAAACAAACTTCTGTCTAAAGTCCTGACCACTTCCAGGGGAATTTTGGGATATACCACACTCAAGGTAATTTGTCATTTTCGCATGCCATTTTTCCTCTTATAGTGCTAAGAACATTTTAAATCGGCAGAATATGGCAGAATAAATCACATTTTTGTTAGTACATTTTGTCTGAAGTAAGGAATTCTTAGTAAAGTGATCATAATTTGGTTTTTGAAGATGGTACTTGATTCTTTTACAGGTGCTTTTTGATGCTTCCACCACAGAGTCAATCTTTAGGTTTGACACTGACACTGGTAACCTTGTAATGAGGAGAAAGAATGAGGCAGTGGTTACCAGGGCAACAGTGATTGAGGAGTTAATCCTCAACTGGAGGATCTGGGAGGGTGCTGAAGAGGGGGTTCTAGATCTGCTGTTTAGAGGGCTTGCCTCACTGATAAGGGAAGACCACTCTCATCAGGCTTTTAACATCAAGCAGTTCCACTCTGTGTCTGTTGTGGACAAGATATTTAATATTTATCAGGTGACTTCAAGTGTAATTGTAATTCAAAAAATGGGCAATGTACATAGAACATAATCTTGTTCTGTAGTGAGAATTCTAGACATCGGGGGTCTAGAAAAAATAACAAAAACTCCTAGACCCTGTGAATGGACAATCATTTGGATAATGATCCATTACTCAATCAATCAATAATTAAATAACTAATATTCCATATATAAAGAGGAATATTGTGAATTCCTTAATGACTGTACATGTATCAGATTCTTTGCAAGTCCAAACACATATTCCTTTTAAAATACAATGTATGGTGCTAATTTGTTCGAAAGAGTGTATTGCATTGTTTTTAAGCATATAGCAAAAATTGGTTTCCTTTGTTTGGATCTTCAGTGTTCAATATTGTAATTCAGGAAAGAATTCAAGATGGCTGCCCAGCTTATCCTGTGTCCATTGGTCAGTCTGTGGTCAGTATCATCACAAGCATGATGGGAAGCCCACCAGATATGCACATCATTGTGTCGGTGTGTGATTTCTTGTTGTTTGTCCACCCAGCAGCTAACACGTATATCAGCTGTTCTCAGTCAGGCTTCTACTTTAAGCTGTGGTGGGGTGAGTCTCAAAACTGCCTATAAATTGTGTAGTTTTAAATTAAGTATGTGGTACAGAAAAAATTCAACTGAAAGGCATTTAATTTTGTTTTCTCTATATTAAGAAACACTTTATTTGAATTCGTAACCGTGAATGTTATATCCAATGGTATGATGTAATTGATGAGGCTTCTGCAGATTCAGGTAAAGACCAGACAATGAGATCGAGTATGAGCAAAGTCAATACTGTGAGAACACCTTCAACAAGTACCCCCCACACTAAAGCTTCTGAGGAATCAGACCACAATTTTACAGGTAACCTCTATTTTTATTGAATTTTAGATGTTTTTGTCATGCAATACATTGAAAAGTGTGACATGGGTATAACATTACACATGTTCTTGGGCTAACTAAAGAAAAATTTGGATGTTGGTGTTGCACCTTATAAAATTTCCCAGAGGTTGCATGTCGGTATCATTGTGGGTATTCATAGCACTCAGATACATGTATATTTACTCTCAACGAGTACAAAAAATGTTTGATAGATGAGAAAATTTTCTTAATACATGTAATATAGATCAAATTGTTTGCCTTAAAATTTACTTGTATTTTCAGAGGTGGATTTTGTCAAGAAGAATCTGTTTAAGGAAGATGATACAGTATTCAGAGATGAAGCATATCCTCCAGTAAAAGTGTTACACCACAAACAAGGCAGCTGGATGGAAATTATCACTCCTGAAGAATTCAAAACTAATCAGGATGATGATGGTACACTTCCAAAAAGTTTGGATCCTCCCATTTTTTCAGACGACCCAAAGGCAGCAGCAGAAATTAATGCTCAAGACTCAGGGGAATTAAATAAACAAGGTCACTCACCAGGCACAGGAAGAACCAAAGACCAGTTGAAGGATGGGAACCAGTCAGCATCTGATGCTGTGGTGATTGACAGTGAACACTTGGAGACCGTGTCAGATCTGGAGGGGAGCAGTGGGTCCACATTCCATAGCAGCCATCTGCCCACTCCTACTGACCTTGACAATGAAACCTACACTCAGTTTGAGAATCCATTCACAAAGTCTGTGTCTTCTTACACTTCAGAGGAAATCCATCATGATGATGAAGGACTGATTGTTCAGAAGCCAGATGTCAATTTTGATGAAAAGGCAGAAGATAATGACTTTGAACGTGGTCTGATTGCTGTCTGCATTGGTGAATATTTATTTTATTCTTATGTTTTACAGTTACAGAGCTGTTGTAATCAATCAAAGTTTCAGAGATACTAAATCATGCACTAATAGAGATTTTTTTCTCTGAAAATAATCTGTTTTATGGACAAGTGGTATTCACATAGACCTGCCGTCTGAAGCATGTACATATTCAGATGTACCTTGCCCCAGACTATTTGTGAGCATATGGTGGAAAAAATTATTTAATTGTAGGATTGTTGAAGACCTTGTCCAATGTTGTGATCAACATGCCTGATACCATGGTAACCAAAGTATTGCAGAATGTCATTAATACAGATATTCTGATCATTATGGCTCACAGTAACTCTCCTGAAGTTAGGACATGTGTGATTAAGGTAAGACCAATACAGAACATATATGATTTAGGTAAGACCTTTACAGAACATTATTGAGTTAGTTAACATTAATTTATGATTTGATGTGGGTTACTTAGTTATATATAGAACAATCATAAGGAAATGCTTGTATTGTAAAATAGGTGATTTTTCAGTATGCAGTCAGCTAAGTAAAACATGTTAATGTACATCTTCTATTTTTTAGTTGCTGAGTAGTTATTTATTCCGAGCTCCACCAGAGCAGGTGTCTGACTTCCTGAAAAAAGAGAGTTTCCACCTATTGGGGGCCCAGTTTTACCAATACCCATCTCATACTCAGCAGTTGGAGGAGTCTATCTCACTAATACTTGGCTTGAGATTCACTTTTGACTCAGAGTATGTTATCACACTGGAAGAGTTGCTATTAATTTAAGAGTCAAAAGCCTCTAAATTTCGTAAACCTGATGACTTACTACCACTTATATTAATATTTTCATGTTATTTATTAGTATAATTTTATTATATTTACATTTCCAAATATTTTTCCTTAAGATTCTTTGCAAAGTAGAAGACTGTTCATTTTCTCGTGAACTACCATGGATGAGCATGAATATCTCCATTGTTACGTCATAATACCGTACTTGACGTCAAAACTATAGTGCAGACTGTTTTGCTTTAAAAATGACAGTTGAATGGTGTAATTTGTGGTAACTCATCAGAAATTAATGTAAATATAAGAAATTAATTTAATTTTTGAAGATTCATGAGGTACATGAACTACAACGCTTCACGCCGGCATATTTATCATGAAGCGCTAACACGCTTCATGAAATATGATGGCGTGAAGCGTCGTAGTTCATGTCCTCATGAATCTTCAAAAATTAAATTCATTTCTTAAAAATGCCATTTTTTACATCAGTATATGTAAGTAATATACTAAAGCTTTAGATTAATTGTATATAATTTCTTTTGGTTTCTTTAAGCAAGCAGAGATAAAATACATGTAGCATTAAGCATCCAGTAGAATTAATATGAATTTTTCACATTATAGTTTGGAGATTAATAAACTTGAGATGACTCCAGTCCAGCAGTCAGCTGTTGTTCTTCTTCTGTCTCTGCTGGAAAATACTCTGTGGGACGTGGCTCTCTGTCATAATGCCCTAATTACAACTAAAAAGGTAAAAATAATGTCCTACTCAGAACTATAGAAAGGTAAATCATAATACCCTACTCTCAACTAGAAAGGTAAGTCATAATGCCCTGCTCACAACTAGAAACATAAACCTTAATGCCCTACTCTCACGAGAAAGGTAAATCATAATGTCCTTATCATAACTAAAAAAGTAAGTCATAAAGCCCTGCTCTCAACTAGAAAAGTAAATCAAAATGCCTTAATCACAACCAGACAGGTAAGTCATAATGCCCTAATCACAACTAGACAGGTAAAACATAATTCCCTACTTACAACTAGAAAGGTAAATCATAATGCCCTAATCACAACCAGACAGGTAAGTCAAAATATCCAGTAATGAGAGTCATTGTCCAGTAACTAGTTTGCTCAATCAAATTGTCTTTTTTTTTGGTTTTGGAGACATTTTTAAAAGGAAAAAGTCATCTGACAAAATTTTGTTTTAGATGTTTGAGAGCAGCTCAGTCCTTGGTTCACTGATGTTGGAGGCAGGCCTGATAGAGGTGCTCACAAACATGTTGGCACGGATCCATCGACTCTCCTCAAGGTATTATTAAACACAGTTATCTTTCTTGAAAGACAATTTTAAGAACAAAGATACAGTGGAACTTTGGTATCTCAATATTTCAAATACCAGGAATATGTCAAAGTGAATTGGAAGTCCCAACCAATTTTTCTTTATTTGTTCTAACCTCAATATCTCAAATCCTTGGAATCTCTGTGTTTTTCTCAACTCGGCCAAGTTTGAGATAACAAGATTTGATTTGCTCCTCATTAACTATTTCTCTATCATACATTTTTGTCTGCCATATGAGATGGTATGATACCTGCAATAACATCCTGGGTTAATTTTCAGGAGTACAGATATAGCTGGAAGAGATGAACACCAGATCTGTGTAGAAGATTTACAGAACCTGGTCTGTGTCATTGCCTGTAGGGAATTCAGGTAAACAAGTTACGTTATGACCAAAAATGTTTTAAGCTTAATCACAGACAGTCAAAGATAATTACTTGATGTATAGTAATATTTTGGTGAACTTTTGACATTGAGCATTGATTTTGTTTAAAGTGCAAGTGGAGGCCATCATCTTCAACAGTTTGATGATCTTCGATATTTACTACGGCAACTGGAGACCAAAGAAAAGGCTGTGTTTGGTAGGATTAAAACATTGCAAACCAGCTTGCCAAATAAATTCTTCTAATTTTGCAAGCGCTTTCATACAAATGACTTTGTTGTTTTTGTTTTACAGGAGAGAACAGCCAGGTTTTACAGAACCTGAAGAGTCTACAGTATAGCGTGATCCTGTTCCAGCTCAATGTGGTGGAGAATGCAGGCCAAGAAAAAGTCTTCCGTCAGGTGTCAGTACCTGAAAGTCTCACTGAATCACCTGGTAAGAACTCTTTGTACTAAGTGTACCAATTTTGATGGAACACTTTTTAAAGTTCTTAAAATATATGTATTTAGGAGGATGCTGTTTTGTCAAAGCAATTAAGATTTTTTTTTGTGAGCTCTGACCTTTTGATTTTCAAAATCATTTTCCATGATGGTCTAAAATTAAAAATGTTACCTGCACTGTAAAACTCTGTACACTGTTTCCTCCATAGGGTATGCATTTGGACCCATTTTCCCAACCTTCACAAACCGTCCTGAAAACCTCACTGAATCCCTCCCCAGATTATCAGCTCTTCCTTTATCATTTACCTCATCTGTAGACATTGACAACCGGTCGAGCTATCATGGAGATTCAGACAGTTCTGCATCATCTGGGCGTTTGTCTCGTCACCAGTCCTTAGTCAGTAGCCTGCCTTCAGATGCACCTCAACCCAAACCGAGCAAGTCCTCGTTCTCCATTGCCAATATGTTCAACAAGTTTAGCTCCAGGAAAAGTCGTCTAATGGTCCTACCACTGTCCCAGTCAGAAGTGAACGAGAGATTTAAAAAGCTCCTGACCTCTGCTGTAGACATGATTGTCCATACAGGTATTCACTGCTGACAATTTTGTGTACATTATTAACAACTTTGTCAAGTACTCATCTGAAATTCTGTGAGTAAAGTTTGTCTATCTGGTAAAATAATAGGAAGACTTGTCTTACAATTTTATCATATTGTGATAAGTTATTATCATCGAGCAATATTAGTCATAATTTTTTTTTGTGTATGCACTGTATATATATGTATGTACATGTTAAGAAGTTATTACATGTAATACTTGGTATTTAGAATTAGTCCTGTTAAGTGAGTATGACATTGTTTCACAGATAAGGAAGAAGTTTCAAAACCAGCTGAGAGGAAATCCCTAAGCTCATTGTTTGAGGGGTCTGAGCCGGTCTCTGTGGACACAATTTACATGCGACGATTATTTGATTTTCTGTACAGAGGATTTGAACATACTCTTTATAACCAGGTATTATACCTTCTCTTAGATTTGAACATACTCTTTATAACCAGGTATTATACCTTCTCATACTCTTTATAACCAGGTATTATACCTTCTCTTAGATTTGAACATACTCTTTATAACCAGGTATTATGCCTTCTCATACTCTTTATAACCAGGTATTATACCTTCCCTTAGATTTGAACATACTCTTTATAACCAGGTATTATACCTTCCCTTAGATTTGAACATACTCTTTATAACCAGGTATTGTGCCTTCCCTTAGATTTGAACATACTCTTTATAACCAGGTATTATTAGTTACATAGTTTTTTAGTGACAGGGTACGGGATGATACCTGGTTAGTAAATTTCATACCTGGCGAGGCGAAGCCGAGCCAGGTATGGAATTTACTAACCAGGTATCGTCCCGTACCCTGTCACTAAAAAACTATGTAACGAATTTACCCCACCGATAAAATATTTATGCATTGTCTGTGGTTTGTAAAATTGTTTTTCTCACTGTATATAAACAATGCCTATTATGACGTCACGTTGTGTGACGTAATGTTGTTTTGCGAGTGTTTCGTGCTGTAATAACGTACTGACAGTTTTGAAGACTTTCAGTAAAGGGAGAAAAAGGTTCCATCTTCGTTACTTACATTAGTTAACTGTAATAACATTGTCAACAGACACTCGGCAAATCGCGTGAACTCGAGTTGTTCGAACGTAATAAAAGAACGATAACTCCGTATCGACCATGTATTGATTCTCAAGCGACTAGGTATAAATAATACACCCCCTTCGCGTGACAGACTTCAACCAATCGTAAGCCAGGATTTCATCGAAAAATCAACAGAGGTGGGGTAAAAGTAATACACCCCCTTCACGTGACAGACTTCAACCAATCATAAGCAAGGAATTCATTGAAAAATCAACAGAGGTGGGGTAATATACCTTCCCTTAGATTTGAACATACTCTTTATAACCAGGTATTGTGCCTTCCCTTAGATTTGAACATACTCTTTATAACCAGGTATTATACCTTCCCTTAGTTTTGAACATACTCTTTATAACCAGGTATTATACCTTCCCTTAAATTTGAACATACTCTTTATAACCAGGTATTGTGCCTTCCCTTAGATTTGAACATACTCTTTATAATCAGGTATTATACCTTCCCTTAGATTTGAACATACTCTTTATAACCAGGTATTGTGCCTTCCCTTAGATTTGAACATACTCTTTATAACCAGGTATTATTAGTTACATAGTTTTTTAGTGACAGGGTACGGGATGATACCTGGTTAGTAAATTTCATACCTGGCGAGGCGAAGCCGAGCCAGGTATGAAATTTACTAACCAGGTATCATCCCGTACCCTGTCACTAAAAAACTATGTAACGAATTTACCCCACCGATGAAATGTTAGTGGTCTGTGGTTTGTAAATTTTTTTTTTCACTATATATATGTTTCATCACTCATACAATGCCTATTATGACGTCACGTTGTGTGACGTAATGTTGTTTTGCGAGTGTTTCGTGTTGTAATAACGTACTGAGTTTTGAAGACTTTCAGTAAAGGGAGAAAAAGGTTCCATCTTCGTTACTTACATTAGTTAACTGTAACAGACACTCGGCAAATCGCGTGAACTCTAGTTGTTCGAACGTTACAATAGAACGATAACTCCACATCGACCATGTATTGATTTTCAAGCGACTAGGTATAAGTAATACACCCCCTTCACGTGACAGACTTCAACCAATCGTAAGCCAGGATTTCATCGAAAAATCAACAGAGGTGGGGTAATGTGCCTTCCCTTAGATTTGAACATACTCTTTATAACCAGGTATTATACCTTCCCTTACAGACTGGGGATAAGAGTGTTTTTAGAGTTTCTGTCATCAGTCTGCTAGACTGTCTCTGTGTTCATCAATTTTCACAAGATTGTATTTGAGCTGTGACTTTGTGACTGAATTGAAATAAATGTATTCAAACTTGTACATATTGTTGCCCTTGACTTAGAAGTGAAAAAACATTTTGATTCAAGGTCATAACTAAAAGATCATTAGCAACAAAAGGTTAAAATTTGAGTCAGGCTGTAACTTTGGAAACTGTAACTGAAGTATTACCTTTTTCCACCCAATACTATAATAGATGTTTAAACTGACAAATTATGGATGTAACGAGACACCCTTTGGCCACCCCAGCTGATTCATTATAATCATGTTTTACTGGACTATCAGCTGGCATAAGGAGAGCCATATTCTTGTGTTATCTAAACATTTCAAAATTTAAGTGTGTATTTCATTATCACAGGACAGAATGTTGCTTAGAACCCAGAAGAACCAAGTTATGTGGGGATTACGAGACACGACGAGGATTCAGGTTTGTCTTAACTTTACTACAGTTGAACTTCGGTAGCTCGAACACTGATATCTCGAATACCATGTATATGTGGAAGTGATTTAGAAGTCCCAACTACTTATTCTTTAAGTATTTTACCCTCAGTATCTGGATTCATCGGATATCTCAAAGTTTTTTTCTTGATCCTACCAAGTTCAAGATAACAAGGTTTGACTGTATTATTATTGTTAGATGGGAGTTAAAATACATTGCTCTAATGTCCTTCTCTTTTGACAGCTGGCCAGACTTCTGGTCTATATGCTTTCTACCAGACAAATACTGGAGGACAGGACCTACATTCTGTCCTACATTGTCAACGAGATAAAGGGACTGGAAATCCTAAAGATCCTCATTAACACCTCCACAGAATACGTAAGTCTCTAAACTACATCATTAATACAATCTCTAGCCCTTCTCACAAAAAATCTTATTAATTTTTACTGTTTGAGAAATCGTATAATTTTATTCCTTTTCACTAAAATTCTAATGAGAAATTATGTGTAAAATTTGTTGCAACTTTACTAGAGCTCTAACCCTCTCGAAAGTATCATAGAGCTGACTTTAATTTAAAAACATAACAGATGAAACCAAAATACATGTTTATTTTAACTTTCTTACAAACCCTCCAATAGCATTTTATATTTTTCACAAATATAGACAAAAAATTCAATAAAATATACTACAAAATATTAATGATGGCAGTTTATCTTAAGATTTTCGTATGACCTACTTTTATGTCTTGATGCCTGAACTCATCTGCTTTTTTTTTTTTCAGGCACATGAATTGGGCTATTACATGTGGGACCTGCTTGAGAATTGGGGGGATAGTTTAAATAGCCAGCATCGGTCAGATGGATCAAGAATCCTGCAGATTCTAAAGAACTGTGACATACCTGTTGTCTCCCCAGGAAAGGGGGAGGAATGTCAATCTTTTCTTACAGAGGTAAATGTTATGAAATAATGTCATATGAAGAAAATGCTTGGTTTTAAATGAATTTTTTGTTAGAGGATACATAGAAATTTGGTATTACATGTATAAAGAAAAGCTGCAAGTGGATGTTTTATCAGGTCAGCTGAGTTACCTTTGACCTGTTGTTATTTGTTAGCATTCAACATCATTTTATAAAGCTGCTATTCCAGTTTATATTAATTTTGGTTTTAGTACATGCATGTACAGTAAATTCTCAAATTTTCGCCATTTGATTCTTCACCATATTCGCAGTAATGCAATAATTTTTCAGTAACGTTTTTTCCTGCTATGTAAAATTCTTTTTATAACACCATATTCACATACTGCCATCCACCACAAAAAAATTTGCTGATGATGACAGTGGCTCGACGATTTATACAAAGTCTGTTTAAGAAATAGTGATATGTATTTAAATTAATAATGAAAGTTTAAGCAATGACAATGCTATAGATGTTTTTTTTTTCTCTATAGGAATTCATTATTATATACTGTAAATTACTTTTTATTTGCAAGAACTTTATTTTCACGTAATTACGCGAGACGGGTGCTCGCCAAAATTTCATTCTTGCCTATATTAGTATTCCTAAAGATTATATAAAGCAATAACCACAATTCATGAAAATTTAGTGCCGCTTATAAAGAGTAAATGGCTATCTTGTGAAAATAAGGTGTTGTGAAAATTTAGTGATGTACAGTACTACGGCAAGTAGATTGATCAAGACAATCGACACTGGATTTTTTAATCTTCAGACGTTCAGTTTTACATGCATTTAGTACATATATTGTCTCCCGCATTCACTGAAAGTTTCAATGGAATTTAATATCACAACTCTCCATGACCTAAAAAAGACCCCTATTAATTTTGATGCCAAAAAGTCAAAGGTCAAGGTTAGAAATTTATGTATTGCAAAACATGGTTTCCACATGATAACTTTAGTTCTCTCTAAGTTTTTTTCAAGTTTTTGAAGTTGTATACCATAACTCCTAGTGACTTAAAGACACCTAATTATTTTTAGGTATAAGGTCAAGGTAAGAAATTCATACAATGCAAAAAAAAAATGGTTTCTGGATATTAACTTAGTCTTTCTTTAGCTTTTTTCTATAGAATTTGATTTCATAACTCCTAATAACTTAAAAAAAGACCCCTTTGATTTTTTAGGTCAAAAGGTCAAGGTCCAAAATTCACATCATGCATAAAATAGTTTCCTGGTGATAAGTCTATAGTTCTGTTTGAGATTTTGCAATGAAATTTCATACCTTTAGTAAATGACATAAAATGACTCCTATTGATTTTGAGGTCAAAAGGTCAAAGACCAACATCAGAAATTTTGTTATCGCATACAAAGTTTTCAGGTGAAAAACTTGAGTTCTCTGTAAGCTTCTGCAATGAAACTTACGGTCATGAATTTCTTTAACCTAAAAAAGACATTGACTTTATAAGGCCAAAAGCTGAAAGGTCAAGGTTAACCTCTTTTTGTCTCCTTCTGCAAATTTTTTCAGTCCTCCCATCCTCTTCTTTTCTCCTGAAGCAAGGGACACAAATTCTCTGAATTAACTTGTTTATTTTGAATTTGTGTATTCTTTAAAAAAAAGTTGTTGTATATAACACAAATCTACTTACTATTTTATGAATTTTCAAGTGGGATTAAATATTATTAAGAAATTCAGGAAATATTTAATATTTAACAACCATGAACGGCAACTCGATTACTTATTTTATTATACAAAAGAACAGTAGCTCTATTTCTCCAAGATAATAAATTCAGCATATCACCAAATTGGTTATACCACCATGATTTATAAATTACAAAAGACAACAGTTTATTGAGAATTGACTGTAGTGTCTTTGGGTGAAGAGATACAAATGTTTTGAATTTCATGGTCTCCAATCTGCACTCTGAGGGTGGTATCAGAACTTCCAGAATGCATTAATTCCTTAACATTTTTTTTCTACTCCATATTGTAAAATAGTTGTCCCCTAGGTTTAAAATTGAGGCCCCAGAATGGAGTTAATTTGATTGATAACTGAGAAATGGAGAACGATTCCTGTTCATACTTATGACAAAGATTGCTTAGGAATAGAGGGTCTCTCGTAGCTAAGATTCAAGGTCATTTGAACAAGTTCTTGAGAAAGGAAAGGTATGAAATTCATTTTGGGTCATATCTATGTTGCTGTGGAAATGAAGATGCTGATACATGACAGAAAGTTTATTCCTGAACACAGTGTGGTTGTGCATCTGTTTCTGTATCATTTTGACATGGTCAAAATCTCTGATAGAAAAAAAAATAATTGTTGGGTAAATATGAAAACTTGTATGTTATCACACAATCATACCTTATTGAGAGAAGTAGAGAAAATTGCTGCATGTTACTCAGTGACCATCAAGGCCCATGGCTCTCTTGTTTAACAACTAGAGCTTATTAGCATATAGACTAGAAAATTGGTCAGCCCTATCTTAGGTTGTAGTCTAAAACAGTGCATGCTGTTTAATAGACAGTTTGTGTAAAGGCTATCTGCATAGTATATTTAATTGAATTCAATTCTTTTCAAGGAAAAACTGATAATTGAAATGAGACTTCAAAAGGGAAGACAACTATGGAAGAAAAAGAGTGAAGTCAATGTTGATAAGTGAGTTCATATGTGGTACAATGTTATTAAGTTTATAACTTTATTTTAAACACCAAACTTTACTGGATGCTAATTTTCATAATACATAGTTGTTGTTTTTTATAAGCAGTACAATTAAGATTTTGTAAAAAAAAAAAAAAAAAAAAAAATATAATAATAGTGTTTTCTTTCAAAACTAGGGCAATACATCGCCAGGATAAAGTGTATTCCAGTTTATCAACTCTTGCCATGGAGATGACCCAAAGAGTAACAAAATTGCAAGGTCAGGAGAGAAGCAAGTTTGTGGAACACATCAAGAGAACTATGACAGAGAAAATTCAGATTAAAAAATCATGGCAGCAGATTGTCCAGAATCTTACCCATGAAAGGTAACAAGTTTGTCTTGTGAAATGTTTGTGACATACTCACAATTACCAAAGTTTTACAGATGTACATGATTGTATTTTACTTTTTTTATTGCTGTTTCAGAGCTGTGTGGCATGATGCCAAGTCGTATCCAAGGTCTTGGCAGCTTGATCCCACTGAGGGTCCAAGTAGAGTCAGAAAGAGGCTAAAGAGGTGTCACCTTGGAATAGAAAAGAAATTCATTACTCCTGAAAATCAGTATAAAATAGGTATGTTCAGTAAACTAAACATATTTAATTTGCAGAATGAATCATGAGCATAACATGGAGGAGCTGTTATTTTCATCTAAGCATTATAACTACATCCTAACTTTATTGTTGTAGAAAGTGAAATGGTAGATCCACCCCTGATCTATTTGTTTGAAGATGACCACCAGACTTCAGACTCAGCAGCTTTGATTTATCAGCTTTACAGGAGTGAGAAAATCCAGTGAGTGTTTCTTTTATGTAATGGTTGATGTCTAACGTCTCTGAAATGCAATGTTTACTGAAGTTAATGTTTATTGTTACAGACATACTTGTAAATGTACAGCTGTGTCACCATTCAATGAGAGCAAAGGAGAACTACTGGTCGGTAAGTTATTGTATTACCAGTCATCTCAGTAACTATTCATATATTACCCCTAGATAAACAGGTTCCTTTGTTATATTCATCAATTTATTAATTTTTTACTAAAAGACGTTTACTTATTATAATTTTTTTTCTTTAGGAGAAAACAGTATTTTCTTTGTCGCAGATGAAGCAATTTCAGATGCCAACTACACTCAAGTAAGAAAAATACTGTATATTATGATGTACATATATTTGTAGACTGAAAAACTCTCCATATCATAGTGGTATATAAGCTTACAATTCTGAAATATGATGCTGTAATGGATATAGATTGCTTTTCAATGTGAAGTAGATGATGTGTGGCTATAATGTTTGTGTTTTGCTGCTAGGTGTTGTTAGGTAACAAGGACCAACTATCAATGACATGGCCTTATGAAGATATCAGGGAAATTCACAGACGCTGGTTCCAGCTTAGAGATGTAGGCATCGAAATTTTCTTGACCAACGGCAAAACATGTTTGTTAGCTTGTCAGAATAACAAGGTAGGCAACTCTTGTTAGAGAAAGAAAAGGTTAGAATTTTGTGATTTTTGGTTTTAAACTTAAGATAAATTCTTTACTGAGGATTCATTTCTTAGGCTAGTATGTGATTACATGTGTATAGTCAAACCAGTGAGAATGTTAGATGTTTCTATTAATTTTGATTTCATTAGATGCTTAATTAAAGGTCAACTGTTGCCAGTGTGAAATTCTAATCAAGTGTATGACATTAATTTTTACTTGATGTAGGAAAGAGAAGGCTTATATCAGCACCTTCACACACTAGAGCTCCCGAACTATGTAATACTGGAGGAACTACCTAAAGTCCAGCAGTCCTGGATCGAGGGCAGGATGACAAATTTTGACTACCTTACGCATCTCAACAAAATTGCTGGCCGGTCATTTAATGACCTGATGCAGTACCCGATCTTCCCTTTTGTTCTCAAGGACTATTTTAGTGAAAGGTTGAACTTATGTGATGAGAAGAGCTTTAGGTATGTTCTTTTTTTAAAGTTTTCTTTTGAGGGGTCATAAAAATCAGTTCAGTTTATGAATTAAGTTTTGTTTATTTGTTCATTTACCTGTATCAGATAAACTTTATTAGCTCACCTGAGCTGAAAGCTCAAGTGAGCTTTTCTGATCACATTTTGTCCGGCGTCCGTCTGTCTGTCTGTCTGTCCGTCTGTCTGTCCGTCCGTCTGTCCGTCTGTCTGTCTGTAAACTTTTCACATTTTCGACTTCTTCTCAAGAACCACTGGGCCAATTTCAACCAAACTTGGCACAAAGTATCCTTGGGTAAAGGGGATACAAGTTTGTTCAAATGAAGGGCCACGCCCTCTTTCAAGGGGAGATAATAGGGAATTAGTGAAAAAATAATGGCATCATTTAAAAATCTTCTTCTCAAGAACCACAGGGCCAGGAAAGATGAAACTCATGTGGAAGCATCCTCAGGTAGTGTACATTCAAGTTTGTTCAAATCATGACCCCCGGGGGTAGGGCGGGGCCACAATGGGCGATCAAAGTTTTACATAGAAATATATAGGAAAAATCTTTTAAAATCTTCTTCTCAAGAACAGCAAAGCCATGATGAGTCATATTTATATGGAAGCATCCTCAGGTAGTGTAGATTCAAGTTTGTTCAAACCGTGACCCCTGGAGGTAGGGTGGGGCCACAATGGAGGATCAAATTTTTAAATAGAAATATACATGTATAGGAAAAATCTTTTAAAATCTTCTTCTCAAGAACAGCAAAGCCATGATGAGTCATATTTATATGGAAGCATCCTCAGGTAGTGTAGATTCAAGTTTGTTCAAACCGTGACCCCCGGGGGTAGGGTGGGGCCACAATGGAGGATCAAATTTTTAAATAGAAATATACATGTATAGGAAAAATCTTTTAAAATCTTCTTCTCAAGAACAGCAAAGCCATGATGAGTCATATTTATATGGAAGCATCCTCAGGTAGTGTAGATTCAAGTTTGTTCAAACCGTGACCCCCGGGGGTAGGGTGGGGCCACAATGGAGGATCAAATTTTTAAATAGAAATATACATGTATAGGAAAAATCTTTTAAAATCTTCTTCTCAAGAACAGCAAAGCCATGATGAGTCATATTTATATGGAAGCATCCTCAGATAGTGTAGATTCAAGTTTGTTCAAATCATGACCCCGGGGGGTAGGGTGGGGCCAAAATGGAGGATCAAAGTTTTACACAGGAATATATAGGAAAAATCTTTAAAAATCTTCCTAAGAGTCATATTTATATGGAAGCAACCTCAGGTAGTGTAGATTCAAATTTGTTCAAACCATGACCCCCGGGGGTAGGGCAGGGCCGCAATGGACTATCAAAGTTTTACATAGAAATATATAGGAAAAATCTTCTCAGGAACAGCAAAGCCCAGATTTGTCATATTTATATGGAAGCATCCTCAGGTAGTGTAGATTCAAATTTATTCAAATCTTGACCCCCGGGGTAGGGCGGGGCCACAATGGAGGATAAAAGTTTTACATAGAAATGTATAGGAAAAATTTAAAAAATCTTCTTCTCAGGAACAGCAAAGCCCTGATTGATCATATTTATTTGGAAGCATCCTCAGGTAGTGTAGATTCTATTTTGTTCAAATCATGACTCCCGTGGATAGGGTGGGGCCACAATGGAGGATCAAAGTCTTAAATAGAAATATATAGGAAAATATCTTCTTCTGAAGAACTGCAAACCATGATTAGTCATTTTGATTCAATTTTGTTCCAATGATGACCCCCAGGGGTAGGGTGGGGCCCAATGGGGGATTGAAAGTTTTACATAAGAACATATAGAAAAAATATTTCTTCTCAAGTTCAGAAAAGCTATGTTTAGTCATATTGATACGGAAGCATCCTCAGGTAGTGTTGATTCAAGTTTGTTCAAATGATGACCCATGGGATAGGGAGGAGCCACAATGGGGGATTAAATTTTTACAAAGGAATATATGGGAAATTTTTTTTAAAACTTCTCAAGTACAACAAAGCCATTTGTTATATTGACATGGAAGCATCATCAGGTTGTTTAGAATTCATGCCCCCCCCCCCCCCCCCAGTAATCTTTTCAATACTGAACTGATTTGTGCTTTTGCCTAGCCAATGTGCTCAGGTGAGCGATGTTGCCCATGGGCCTCTTGTATGTTTTAATAGCACTGTATTTACATAAACATGACTTACATATAAGAATTGAAGTAAGAAATCTTAAATAGAAGAAGTTTGTAACAAATGTTGATTTTTTTTATTTTACAGGAACCTTAGTAAGCCCATGTCTGTGCAGTTTGAAGAAAAGAAGCAGAAGTATATAGACAACTACAACGTTAGTAACAAAGCATTCAGTAGACTGATTGAATTACTGTATACATGGAAATTTTATTTTCGCCCCTTTTGCCTTAATCACAGATGGGCGAATTTAAAACGGAGCGAATTCAAAGAACACAGCATAATTTCTTAAACAGAACTGTGACTGGTGAATTCAAAATGGGGCAAAAATGGTCGCAAGTGCACTAGGGTGAAAATAACATGGGGCGAAAATAACCCTGTATACAGTATTTCTGATTTGAAGAATTCTGAGATAGACTAATAGTTTGATCAGACAATATTAAGATTTAGGTTGATTCATAATTATTCCTCTTGTTTTTGTGAGTTGATTCATTATTTCTCTTATTTTTGTGAGTTGATTCATTATTCCTGTGTCATATTTTGAGTAGATTCTGAAGCAGGAGAGAGATCGTGGAGAAGGCACTGATAACTCGTTGCTGAGGGTGGAACCTTATCATTACGGCAGCCATTACTCTAATAGTGGCACTGTCCTCCATTTTCTTGTTAGACTTCCACCATTCACAAAAATGTTCCTGAGTTACCAAGGTAACTCAAGTAGGAAGGTTTTAATAAATACAGTCACAAATGTATCGGAAGTTATGAACTAGGAATGTAAAAATATTTCTTCACAGTTAAGAGTGTGTAACAAGATCAAGGCTTTCTTTTTATATAAAAAATAATATCTGAAAGTTGCCACACGCTGTCCTCAAGACTTCAATGTAAAAAAATAACTTTGCAATCTATTACCGGTACATTTTAAGTTTAAATTTTGTGTTAGGTGTAATTACAGTAAATGAATAGGTTTGTCAATGAGTTTATATTTATCTCTAATAGTGGAACAATATTTTGTAGATAAGAACTTTGATCTGCCAGACAGAACATTTCACAGTGTACAAACAGCTTGGCGACTTGCCAGTTTTGAATCAGCTACAGATGTTAAGGAGTTAATCCCAGAATTCTTTTTCCTTCCAGAATTTCTGAAAAACAGTGAAGGTAAAAGAGTCCCCTTTTATTGTAATACAGAAAACAAAAAATGTGTACCATAAAAGTGTCCTAGTCTGACATCTTGGTGTAGAGTGTTGTTTTAAAAAGTAATTTGAAATTTACTGGTAGGTTTTGACTTTGGAAAAAGACAGAATGGAGAGGTTGTAAATGATGTAAATCTTGCTCCATGGTGCAACAATGATGCCCGTCTATTTGTGATGATTCTTCGTCAAGCATTAGAGTCGGATTACGTCACAAAAAACCTTCATAACTGGATAGATCTGGTTTTTGGATATAAACAGCAAGGAGAGGAAGCCGTGAAGGCCATCAATGTTTTCCATCCTTCAGTAAGTGTTGTCTAAACTCAGGTACAGTCTAAACTCAGGTACAGTCAAAGTCGAGCAACGTTAATGTACAAATAGATCCAGTTAAAGACGAGCAATATTAATGTACAAATAGATCCAGTCAAAGTTGAGCAATGTTAATGTACAAATAGATCCAGTCAAAGTCTAGCAATGTTAATGTACAAATAGATCCAGTCAAAGTCGAGCAATGTTAATGTACAAATAGATCCAGTTAAAGATGAGCAATATTAATGTACAAATAGATCCAGTCAAAGTCGAGCAATGTTAATGTTATATAGATCCAGTCAAAGTCGAGCAATGTTAATGTACAAATAGATCCAGTCAAAGTCGAGCAATGTTAATGTACAAATAGATCCAGTCAAAGTCGAGCAAAGTCAATGTACAAATAGATCCAGTCAAAGTCGAGCAATGTTAATGTTCAAATAGATCCAATCAAAGTCGAGCAATGTTAATGTACAATTAGATCCAGTCAAAGTCAAGCAATGTTAATGTACATGTAAATGTTTACAAACCCAAAGTACTGATGCTTAACCCTTAAGGAATGAAACTTGATATATATTCATTATTTATTGAAGATTTTTGTATCTATGTATATGAAGAGTACTTTCTATAGAGTAAACATAGTGTTAATGTACTGTTGCTGTTTAATTTCAGACCTACTTTGGAATGGACATAGATAGCGTGACTGACCCACTACGGCGCCATGCACTGAAGACAATGGTCAAAACCTATGGTCAAACCCCTAAACAGCTGTTTAAATGGCCTCACCCCCAGAGAAATTCCCAACAGGACACACCTAACATCATCTCGCAGTTGTTTTCTACAACATCATACCTAGCAGAGGTACCAGTTAAACAGATGCCTCAGCTTCCCTATGTTGTGAGTCCCTCTCCTGTTCCTAGATGTGGTCAATTTTAACCATTGTCTGCCTCTGGCATTATGACACAGTCACCCAGCTGACCAAATACAAGAACAAAGCTTCTTTTAGAATCATTTTAATTCAAGAAGATGAAAATTCAACAATCAAGATCAAAATCTTGGCCTCAAGCATAAAAGAATTCCCAGTCTATTATGCATAGCAACATTGCTTAATTCTCTTCAGTCTAACTCTGCCTGCTTTTTGCACTAATCTTGTTTTTGAAGTACTTTACTGTTGGATGACTTAAGGTTATCACTCTGAAAATGCCATCGTTACTATTTTTAGCCTAGCCCATTGGCCAGTGTGAATGGTATGAAGTGGGGAGTGTATGTTGGATCCCGAAATTTAGCTCCCCCTGAAATCATTTGGCAGGGTCGATACAATGCTGTGGTGGCCAGTCTGACTGCTTTCCCTACCGGAGAAGTGTTTGGGGTTGGGGAAAAATGCCACTGTCTCACAATGCTCAGCAAACAAAAAGGTATAAATTCAAAGTCTTTAACATGTCGTAAAATTTTTTATGCACATATATTTATTCAGCCGTTGTGGAAAAATATAATTTGTGAATTGAATTCTGCATTTTATTACCACCATATTTCTTACAGTGTCTACTATTTACAATTCCACGGATGTTATTTGGGCAGCCATTCTAGACTGGAAAGAAGCAGATGGTATATTGAGAATTCGTCAGGTGAAAAAAGAAAATCCGCCAATTAATCTTCTTTCCCACTCACCGTTTGAACAGGTATTATATATATTTTCCATCAGTAATTTTCTGTCCAATAAACATGTTTTAAGATATTTTTCCCTTTTTCTATCGATGTGTGATGAATTGATCTGATTTGACACAGGTAACGTGTTGTGCCTCTGTACCAGACTGTCGTCTGCTGTTTGTTGGAGGGACTAGTGGAACCATAACAATCTACAACACTGTGTTCAATCAGGCAAAGGTAAACTTACTACAACTCTTACCACACAGGAGAAAAGAAAACAAAGGATTGAGGTGAATCTAAATAAATGTAATTTTGTATTTACAGGAAAGCTGCTTACAAATCAAAGGCAGCAGACAGGTGCTCCACGGTCATACAGGGAGTATCAATGCTCTGGTGGTGTGTAAGCTGTACAGTGTGGTAGTCAGTGGGAGTGAGGACCATACCTGTATTATCTGGGACCTCAATAGGTCAGGGGTATTCATTATTCAATTTCATCAATACTTTCTATTGTGAAAAGAGAATGTTGATGAACAAAAGCCTGTTGTATAAATATAATACTAATGAAATTTTGCATTTGAGCATCTTGTCAGAAAAAATTATTGTTTAAATATATGTACTTTCAGTGGTTAAAGATCTGTTGATACTTTAACAGGTTGTGTTACGTGAGGTCTATTACCAGTCATTTGTCACCTGTTAGAGTGGTGGCCATCAGCAGTACACTGGGAGACATTGCCTCGGTCAGTCAGAAGGGTCCAGGCAGTCAGTTAATGCTTCACTCCATTAATGCCACACCTATAGCCAAGAGCACCACACTGGAGAGTTGTATAAACTGTCTGTGCTTCTCCACGGCCCCGGAGGGTCAGTCTGTCAACATCCTCGCTGGGGGGATGGATAATGGAATCATTAGGTACACCAGCCGTATTTACTGTTCGAAAATATCTTTGTTTCTGTGACAAGTGAGGTAATTGTAGAAAATAAATTGTCAAAAGAAAAATTAATTTAAATTAGGGATGGCAGTTTGTAACCCGTTAACCGATTACTCGGTCGGAACAATGTTAATCAATTAGAAAATCTGTAATCGGTTAATCGGAAAAAAATAAAATATATGTAAATTTGAACGCAATTTTCTTAAAATTTATTTAAAAAAAAAATATTGCACAAACGGTGATAATTTAGCGTTTTTACATATCTATTTAAGGTTATTTGGAGGTAATTATGGCTCTCTTGATCGAGATTGCATGGGTAATTGGTCAGCTTGTGAAGAGTTAATTACTGTTTAAACAACCTGTCGGTACCCTGACTGATCTGTAATTCTTTAATGATATTAATTTAATCAGAGTTGAGCACTGTGAACCGTCTATCTTTTGCCGTTTTCTATTAAATTATAGCTTTAGACAAACATTGTAACTTAAGTGAAAGTTCAGACTTAGTCATGGTTATAGTGACAATGCAAGACAAGAGAACAGTTTATTCTCAACTGGAACAAAGTTTAGAGAGGAAGAATGCAGAATGAACTTGTGGGACATCTTGAAAATTATAAATGTCTGATTTCTCAGGCATGTTTCATGGTTTTCTTCATTTGTTTCTTGTCTATTGAAATTGAAGTAAAACATAATTATGTACAAAAGGTTTCCTGATCAAGATAAACAAATAGTTTACAACGTCTAACTTCCTTTTTAGTCTTCTTGTGTATGTGAATAAAGAAAAAAAAGTCAAGAAAATATGTACATGTATTTTGATACGATTAACCGGTTAATCAGTCGGAACGTCTTGCAGTTAACCGATTAGCAATTCTGTATTTGATTGTCATCCCTAATTTAAATACAATTTTTTTCTGCAATTAAATTTTTTTTTATTCAAATATGCAAGACTTTACCCATTTTAAGACTTTATACTTGTTTTTGATGGCTTAGTATTAATTGATTTTCAGTAATTTTAACCATTACATCGAAGAGCTTTAAGTACTTGTATTGTGATCCTCTTGATTATTTTTGTCAGACTCTGGAGCAGTATGGACTTGACAGTGCTTAGAGATCTGCAGACTGAGAATCTCTTGCACAAACCTGTGATCAGGTAAGATTCCAAGCAGGTGCTCTTTGTGTCTAAGTCATGACTCACTTACTAGAAAGGCTGACACAGGAAAATGTAAGAAATGGGAAAATGTTGAGAAATTCAGTGCTACATTTTGAGCTACTAAAGAAAATAAAAATGGATAATTACATATGATATGTTTTATTTTGGTATTCTTAACATTTGCTAGAGAGTTATGAGTCACTAATTTGATATCTGTAGGCATGAATAAAACCATTTTTCCCTCCAATCCATAATATGTTCAGAAACATTGACATTGACCATAGTCCTTCTTCACTTCTGATTAGATAAGTCAGAAAATTCCCATTCTCCTTAAGCAGATGTACACACTTATTGCCACAGTCACTTAACAAAATGTTACTAGCAGAATCACAAGAAATTCCCCTTGGATCAAATTCTGATTGGTTTGGACCATTTCCTTTGTAGCGATATCTGAGTTTGCCCTGTGAAAGTACACACAACTGTCCACTGTCAATTGCTGTACGATCAATCACACAAATATCACCATTGGTATTTACTGATATCCTGTAAGGGTATAAAAATAAACTTGTCTTTCCATCTTCATCATATTGGTAAACCTTTTTGGTCTTTCCACTATTTGATAAAAGCATGACAACACTTTTCTTTGGTTGTCTCTTGGTGAAGAGATCTTCACTAAAAGCTGTGGTATCTATGGCAGAAACAAGGAATCGGTCTTCTGCTGTCGCACAAATTCCAACAGGAAACAAGGGGGATAAGTCTGCTAGCTTGACCACTTTGTTGGTGGACATTTCACTGATGTTAGCCTTTGGGGGAGAAATTTTCATCACAGAATGCCCTGCATGCCAGGTGTATATGTGAACTCCGTTGCTTAAAGTGATAAAATCATCAGGTATGTGATCAGATTGGGTCTCCCCAAACATACACCCGCTCTCTGCATTTCCATTGGCAATGTTGAGCAGAACGTTCTCTGAGGACCTGAATTCCCTGAACCAAGCTTGTGTGTCAGATATGGGAGAAATATACTTTATCATTCTGTTCCCTTTCTTGGCTTCAAATATTTTTGTGACTGTGACTTTGTCATACTTCAGGAATATTTCTCCTAAAATAGATTGATACATTTTCTCATCCTTTTTTCCCTCATTGAATTCTATCTGATGCAGAGTTAAATCTTGTTCAGAGAGTTGTAAAGGGTCGGGTACAGATTCCACATTTTTCTTAAGTTGTAGTAATTTGGACAAATCTATGGTTTTACTCTCTTCTTCTATGTCTTTCAAACTGGATTCAAACTGTGATAGGTAAATTTCTATTTCCTTTTCTTTTGCATCTAGTTTTTCTTCATTCTGCACTTTGATTGCTTTACAGTATATAACTAACCCAGAGCAAATTCTCTGTAAATTCTTCATGACAGTTTCAGTGTGTGTCAGAATTTTCTCTGTTTTTTCTGCCACTAGGTTTTCATTTTCCTGTCTTAGTTCTTTGATTTTCTGGATTTCTGCCTGCAGTCCAGGGACTCTGTCTTGCCTGACCACATTGCACTGTTCTCTCAGCTCCAGTTTGATACGATCCAGTACTTTTAATGTTCTACTCCAGTCATGAGAACCATGTTCTTGTTGTCCACATATCAAACAAATCTCCTCCTCACAATCCACACAAAACATGTCCAGCAAGTCCCCATGGTCATGACATGTCTTCAGGGCTGCCTGAGCCTGAGTGTTGCAAAAAGCTGCCATGATATAAACATTATCCAAACTGTTTCACATTTGAATTACCATTCTGAAATTAATTCATGCTTCAAACTTTCCTGTTCTAAAATCAAATTTTTCCTGTTAGATATTCAGCTTTGATAACTTTTAATTTTGGGAAACATAGCTTTGAGGAAGGAATAGTGAGGAAATACACTTGTTTACAGGAAGTCATACATATATATATTCTGTAGATTTTTGGTTTTGGAGTAATAAGTCACTGATAAAATAATTCAGCCAGAGGATTATTTGAATAGTTTTGTACATAATAATATAGGAGGCACATAGCCTAGTTTTTTCAAGGGAGAGGGGGCAGAAAATTATTGACGAGCAAAAGAAAAAAAAAAGAAAAACAACCAAAACTCAAAACTATTTCTTTCATGTATGTGTGTGTGTTTGGGGGGGGGGGGGGAGCATACTAAAATGAGGGGTTGCTGTTTACAAATTGTCTTTTAGTGATATCCCCACACCAGAAAAACAGCAAAATGCTATTCTCATATTCTCAGAAAAAGTGTGGGGAAGTGTGATACTGTTATATATAATTAGTATAACCATGTAGATATATTTAATTCCAGATTTAACAAAATTGAACTTGATGTTACAATATATTGTTTAATTCTAGAAAGATTTATCTAAGAAAAGAAAGACATTTAACTGTGGAATTATGTTACAATACTAGTAAATAAAGGTAGTCCATTTTTTCATTTGCTTTTTTAATCTATTTCAGTTTGACATTCACTAATGATTCCTCGCGCCTGTATATGACGTCTTCTGATGGGACAATTACAGTGTGGGAGTCACCTCCCTTTGGTCGAATCAGACCAAATAACCTTCTCCTTCACATCTAAAGTCGGGAAGACTCGTGGCATCTCACCAGCTAGACTGTATCTTTTGTTAGGGCAACACACCTCAGAATTCTGAGTATAATTGTACAGAAACATTTTTTGATCATCATTTTCATATACATTGTACTCCACTTGATCAATTAAACTGTGAAATAATGTACATAGTTCATTAAAGTCACGTTGTAGGCAGCTTGATATAGTATTTAACAATTTTTAATTAAAGGCAATCTTTTTATATATTGATATTTCAATTGGAACCTATTGAAAAACGTCATGAAAATACATGATACGTATTAAACAAAGATACTGGATAATTTAAATGATAATTAAGCAAATAAATGTATTTTATATTTATATACAATATAATATATTTGTATAATCTATTCATAGTATACAATCATTTTTACCAAAGTCATTTTTGTATAAATTGACCAATATTTGCTCAATACACTTTATTCAACATTCCATACGCCAGTATACTGATATATACCGGTATATGATCCTAGTGCCATGTTGTATTTGACATTGATTTTCGTGTGAGAATGCTTTATACTGTAGTGAGTTCAGATTAGGCTTGGAGCTTTTAGTGTGGGAGAGTTGTATTACAACAATATTTTGTGAGGAGTAAAGTGTTTTCAAATTTAATTTTTTAAAACATGCACTTGGAAAAATTGTGTGACTTTTTGTTTTTGAATTCATTACGTTTTTAAATATGAAGACAAAGAATCTTTATATAATAAAGATTTCTGAAATCCGTATATAGAAATCACTTTATACCATGAAATCTCTTAAGATTCATAAATTGTTTTTATTTTGTAATAAAGATAATAAAGATACTGATTTATTTTGTTTTTATTCGTTTAGTAAGAGGTGTAAAAACTCTATTAAGTTTTATAATTGAGAGTCTGTCATGAAACTCATGATAGAGAATATCCCAACATTCCGTAGAAATAATTGCTGATTCCAAATGAACACAGAGAATTTTTTGGGAGCGGATAGCTCAATGAGAATCTGAATTGAGGAGCAAAAATTTCAGTATATTTATTGTTCATTTCATCTAGGTAAACTAATACACATTACCCAGATCACATACATCTAATTAAAGAATTTTACGGACATATTCTTTTCATTGTTTAAAAAAAATTGATATCTGTGCTTCTTGAGTAGAAAAATGAAAAAAAAGAAAGAATGTTTTTTCCCCTCCTGAACTCTGAAAATTACAAAATTTACAGGATCTCATGACAAAAGGGAGATGGTAACTTTTAAACGCACTTTGATGACCGATGTATGAAATTAAAAGAGTGCGTGAGGAAAATAGCAATGACGGAAATTATTATACACGACTACAAGAATTTCATATGTGGAGGGCTTATACATGTATATCCCGTTTTATACGAGTGGAATCGAGCTGACTCGAATGAAAGTCACCAATTTAGTGATCTCAATCAGATTACCATCACCAGTTAATTATCAGGTAAAAATTGCAATAAAAGTCTGGAAGAAGAGTGACCTAGCCTTACATTAAACATTGTAGGAAATGTAATATTAAAATATGTGTCCATAGGGATTAGACACTGTCTTGCGTAATTTTATTACATTCGATCCTTTAAGAATCCGAAATGAGATCATCTTAACATTACAGAGGTAATCACTATGAATTGGTCCCAGAACAAAAGCTGGAACCAAGAATCACCTCTTTGGGAAATTATGTAAGTCGACAATTAATTTATAAACTAAATTGGCAAAACATAATGATATATTTACAATGTATTAAACAAATTGAACGTGTTCTCAATCAACCTAAACTATAATTAGCGCTACTGTATTAATTTTTTTATTCACAGTATACATGTCATATTCAATTTTACATTATACTTTGTTCTGTTGTATTCTCGTCCATTTTGACACGTACGTAATATATATATATATACGAGGGGTTATCAAAAAGTTCGTGGACTAGCGCCATAAGATTAAAACCGGTTTAGGTACATCAATGAATTTTAAAACATTTAGTTAGCGTCGTCTTTTCTATCTACAGAATAAACCATTAATCATAAGTTTTATTTTTTAAATAAATTTTTAATGTTTTTGTAAGCAATGGTATTTTCCAGGCGGCGCAACCTCAAATATGACGGTTTTTCCTCCTAAGTGTAACTGAGAAAAACTCTTTTGATATGAGCATTTGTCATCAAAAAATCCCGTTATTTCAGGCATGTGGTATGACACAATTGTTCTGTAAAATTTGCACTTTTTACCCTATTCTGTACGTTCTTTGAAATTTTATCGTAAATTTTATATGGAGTGTCAAAAAAATTTAGGCTTGAAAATGACGTCAAAAAGGGGGAGGGGTTTCTTCTTCCAGCATTTTATAAAGTTTCGAACCTGGAAAAACTGGTATAGACCTAAGGAATATTAAAACGGGCAAAAGAGAAATAAAATGCATCCAAAGCATTTGTTTTTAATGCCCAAAAAGATTCAGAGAGATGAAAGATGCATAATTAATGTCGATTTGTAGTCAGGGTGTCAAAAGTCAGTCACGTCAAAAGTGACTTTGATCATGTGTGGTAGAATTTGAACTCCAACAAGCTAAGTATTCTGGCATAATCAAGTGAGGATCTTTCCCTTTGTATAGATCCATTTACAATATTATATGCATTGTAAGCAGCTGTTCATGACATTATAAAGTCATATAAACAAGATGGGCTTTAATCCTTACTTAACTCCAGGTAATCTCATCAAGATAAGTGTATGAGGTAGAGAGAGCGGACAATGAGAAACAATGACGTTGTCGGACGTCATGAAACTAAACGGCGACAGCGCCGGGTGATCATATAATGTCTTTTTTTATTTTAGAATAATTTGGAACATTATCAACGTATCGAGCTAAAATTTTCAACATTTCTTAAACTTTTGTTGTTTTATGTTTCTTATAAATTTTGTAAGCACAGACTACATAGTATTGATTTTATCGCATCAGTCCACGAACTTTTTGATAACCCCTCGTATATATATATATATATATATATATATATATATATATATATATATATATATATATATATATATATATATATATATATATATATATATATATATATATATCATCCATTAAAAGACCTCGAATAGTGTAATCAAAGGCTTCATGAATATCTATCATTACAAAAAAAAATTATAATTAAAAAAAAACAAAACCAAAAACAAGATGTGTTTGTGAAACACTGATGCCCCCGTATGGCAACTTATGGCAAAGGTTAAACTTTCTCAAATATTTTGGTACCCAAAGTAAGGTCTTGTCTCGAGGAATATACCTGTGAAATATGAGAGCCCTAGGAGCAACCATTGAATAGATATGGAAGGGTTAAAGTTTTTCAAAAGTAAGTCAAACATCAAGGTCAAGGTCAAATGGTAAAAAAAAAAAATCGTGCCTAAGGAAAGGCCTTCTCACAAGAAATATACTGGTGAAATGTGAAAGCTGAAGCACCAATCGTTCAAAAGTTATGACCAAGGTTTAAGTTTTCCAAAAGTAGGTCAAACTCCAAGGTCAAGGTCAATGGATTACAATTGTTGGTATCCAAAGAAAGGTCTTGTCACAAGGATTAATATGTGATGTATAAAAGCCCTAGCACCAACGGTTCACAAGTTATGGCCAAGGTTAAAGTTTTCCAAAAGTAGGTCAAAAGTCAAGGTCAAAGGGTCAAAGTTGTTGATATCCAAAGAAAGGTCTTGTCACAAGGATTACATATGTGAAGTATGAAAGCCCTAGCTCCAACGGTTCACAAATTATGGCCAGGGTTAAAGTTTTCAAAAGTAGGTCAAACTCCTACGTTAAGGTGAAAGGGTCAAAGTTGTTGGTATCCAAAGAAAGGTCTTTTCACAAGGATGACATTTGTGAAGTATGGAAGCCCTAGCACCAACCGTTCAAAAGTTATGGCCCATGTTAAATTTTTTCAAAAGTAGGTTAAACTCCAAGGTCAAGGTCAAAGGGTCAAAGTTGTTGGTATCCAAAGGAAGGTGTTGTCACAAGTATTACACATGTGAAGTATGAAAGCCCTAGCTCCATTTGTTCAAAAGTTATGGCCAAGGTTAAAGTTGGGAAAATTTTCGCAAAACTGGGTCAAACTCCAAGATCAAAAGGTCAAATATGGTGGCACCCAAAGAAAGGTCTTGTCACAAGGAGTACACATTTGAAATATGAAAGCCATAGCTCCAACCAATCAAAAGTTATGGGCAAAGTTAAAGTTTTTGTGGATAAACAGACAGACAGACGGACGGACAGAGCAAAAACAATATACCCCCAAATCTTCGATACGGAGGCATAAAAACGACCGCTATTGAAATAATTAATTCCATTGTGGTTGAGAGTACATTTCATAAGCAACACTACTTTGCAACCAATATTGAAATAACGACCGCTTTTAAAATAATTATTTAAATAGTGGTTAAAAAAGCATTTCACACCCAACACCACATTGTAACCACTATTGAAATAACATCCAATATTAAAATATATAAAGATTAATTGTTCATTTTAATCTTATCGTCAAGATTAGTTTAAGTTTTGTGACTCTATGTTTCTATTGTTTTACGTACTTTAAATACTAGTTTATAAATCTTTACTGAAGAATAATATTTCATGTTCCCCAATTTTACCAACGAATATCATAATTTTCATAAGATTTATAACTTCAGATGTGTTTAGGATATTTTTTTTTTTTGTAGAATAAAGTACTCTAAACAATATTTTGTTCAATACATATGTTAGGTGTCATTTCAATAGTGTTTGCAATGGTGGGCCCATTTTGATATAAAGCTCACTATTGAAATGATTATTTCAATAGTAAGCGTTATTTCAATAGCGGTTTTACATCAGTGACCACTAATAAAGTCCCTCGTAAGTATAATAACAAGCATGGTTTTATTATCTATATTGGTAGCGTAGGTAAGCTAAGAATGTAGAGGAGAATGTTATATATGGAGATAGTTTGCGGATGAGTATTAGTTGAGAAGCAACTTCATTGTTGGAAAAATTACAGTGTGAAGCGAAGGATAATTTTATGGTTGCATTTTAATTTTTATACAAACTTTGAAAGATTAAAAAAATGGGGGGGGGGGGGGGAAACAAACAAGTTTTTTGAGATAAGATAAAACAAACTTTATTAGCTGCATCGTTTTGATCAAAAACATTAACATATTTCCATCAGAAAGTCTGTCCACATAGCTATCGGTCTCCTTTCGTCTTTATATGAATTATAATGTTGTTTTTTCCCCCCTAATTTTATACTTTGAATTTTAGTTACTTCAATTTAATCAAGCATGTTCATGTATTTACAGTATTTCTACAACATATAGGGAAACGTACATTTACA